GGAGACGTCCTTATAGCCCCAGTGCCATGTGATTCTTGCGGGTTTAACGTTTAGTTTGGATCATATTATTATAATCAAAACAAAACTAGGGTCATACAGCGCTGCAGTTTTGATAATAATAACTGATAATACTATAATTCCGCCTAACTAAGGACAAGAAACTGATCATGTGGATGTTTTGAAAGTGTAACATTTGACCTATTGTGTCAAAGGTTGTATCAGCAGCAGTGACTCCCTCATCGTCCACACAGCAATGATGCAACAACATCAGCTGCTGCTGCTGCTGCCTGGGCTCCACACCTCCTTGACATGTACATTATCATCGTCAGCACTTTAATAATAATAATTTTTTATTAATTTCTGCTTATATCTTTTTCTTTTGCTTGTTTCATTATCTCTTCTTGTTATTGTTGGGAGAAGCTAACCCCGTGGTAGCCGTGAAGCTCTCGGGGAACTGAAGGGACATTATACTTGCTTCGAGGGAGGGGAAAGGCAGCTCCAGTTCCTCGGGTCAAAAGCCTTTCACCAGCATCAGTGCACTCTCTAGGAGTGACATGTGTACATATTACGAACACCTGGAGGGTGGTTCACACTGCATGACAAACGCTGATTTAAACATTAGTGTTGTGTCAGTAACTCTGGCTGTGGTCCATACGTTGGACCCCGTGCGGCTAGCAGCAACAGCCTGGTTGTTCAGGCCGTCAACCAGGAGGTCTGGTCTGGGACCTCGAGATACACATCAACCGTGTAGCGTGACTGGCTTTACACATTACTTACGTTAGGCTAGTTAGTGCATATGCTCATTATTATTATTATTATTATTATTATTATTATTATTATTATTATTAAGGTTTATTGGTTTATTAGATTTGTAGTGTGTAGACTATACGAGGTTAATAAGACTGGATGCTGTACTCTACCGGACTGTTGTTATTAAACCCGTATGGGTCATGCAGCGTCTGGGGGAATGGAAGGCATTTATTTATTTATTTATTTATTTATTTATTAATTTGAACATGATACAGAAAAGTACAAAAGAATACAATTGAATGCAGCATGCCAAAGCCCCTTGTATGCAGAGCATTATGGGCAGGCTTAAAATTAACTTAAGATTAACTAAGCATTCCTAAACATTATTGTAAACAGATAACAATTATGCTCTAGTGAGTACTACAAAGACAGGTCATATGGTTGCATACATTGCTGTACATTCAGTAGAATGGAGTATTCTGTTAGGTAATGTAATTAAAAAATAACAAAGTTTGATTGGGTCTCAGGTTAAATATTTCTGTGATACAATCATGAGAAACATTTAAGATATACAATTTATAAGATACAATTATTCAGTATTTATTTGGTTGTGGGTGAGTAAGTGATTTTTGAGAAGAGACTTGAATTTATAAACAGATAGTGTTTCTTTTATATTCATTGGTAATGAATTCCAGATTTTAGGGCCTTTTGTGTGCATTGAGTTTTTGCATAGCGTGAGATGGACACGAGGAACATCAAAGAGTGATCTGTGCCTTGTGTTATGGTCATGTGTTCTGTTGAGGTTGGTAAGGAGACGTTTGAGGGGAGGGTTTATATCAGAGTTAAGTGTTCTATGAATGTAGTAGGTGCAGTAGTAAGTATGGATCTTTTGTATGGTGAGTAGGTTTAGAGTTTTGAATATTGGTGGAGTGTGCTGCCTGCAGTGAGAATTTATCATTCTGACTGCAGCCTTTTGTTGGGTAATTAATGGTCTGAGATGGTTTATTGTTGTTGAGCCCCATGCACAAATTCCATAGCTGAGATAGGGGTAAATAAATGGGTGATATAGGGCCAGGAGGGCTGACTGTGGAACATAGTACCGTATCTTCGACAGTATGCCTACGGTCTTGGATTTTTTTTTGGAAATTTGTTGTATATGTGTTTGAAATTTGAGTATTATCAAGGTGGATTCCTAAAAATTTTCCATCTGTGAATTTTGTGATAGGTGATCCGTTTATCATTATGTTAAGAGGGACGTATGTAGCTCTGTTACCAAACTGAATGAAGTAGGTTTTGTCAATGTTTAGAGTAAGTTTGTTAGTACTCATCCAGGTAGATATTTTCTGTAATTCGGTATTTACAGTATTGGCTAGCGTGACTGGGCTCGGGTGAGAGAAGACGTATGTAGTGTCATCTGCAAATAGTGTGGGTTTGAGTAGTTGCGATGCATTTGGTAGGTCATTTATGTATATGAGAAAGAGTAGAGGGCCTAGGACACTTCCCTGTGGGACACCAACTGTAATTGGCTGTGCGGAAGAATTTGCCCCGTTTGTGTACACATATTGGCTTCTGTTGCTGAGGTAAGACTTTAGGTAGTTGAGGGAGTGCCCTCTTATACCATAGTGCGACAATTTTATATGGAGCAAGTTATGGTCAACTGTATCAAAAGCTTTACGCAAGGCAATGAAGATCCCCAGTGGGACTTCTTTTTTCTCTATTGCACAATATATATTTGTTCTAACATGTGTAT